TATATATATATATATATATATATATATATATATATATATATATATATATATATATATATATATATATATATATATATATATATATATATGTACATATATATGCATATGTATATATATATTGAAATATTGTAATGTTAATATATATTTCAAAATCAATCTTAAAACTAATGAAAATCCGAAAGTGAAGTAATCAGAAATAACATTCCTTCAATTCGCTTAATCTAAAATCAGTTTTAATATTTCGAAAATAACCTACCCTCTGAGCTCAAATTTATCATCATTAACAAAAGCCACAACGCCCAAGAGGCTCACTGTTACAAATTTCAGTGAATCCCAATGATCCAAGGATGGCTTGTCGGAAACCACGGACAGTACTCCAACTAAGCATGAAAACATTTTCGATTGACGTCTGAAGCACATTTCCATACCAGGCTTAAAGAAACAATCAAAATCAATTTGATGAAATAAGGAGGCTAATGATATTTCAATTTATCGCGGTTCGTTCCAAAAATCTGACCTGTGATTTCAAAATATCTGATAGATCAAATTCAGTAGACTTAATTATTCACTCTTGAAGTTCGAATGAAACAGAAAAGCTTTTTTGTATCTTTTTTGGATAACAAATAAATTTAATTTTGAATAAATACTCACCCATGTATTGATAACGGATTTCAAACATTTGACACTGTCGTGGAGTTGCAAAGCATACTCTTCCTCTCGTTCAGAATTCTCTGATAGCCACAGGGATTCGATGAGATTATGCATTATGTGGAATAATAAATGAAGACCACCTTGGTTCCCAAACTATAAAAAACATGTGAAAAAAAGCATTATTTCACCATAACTAATTTCCCATAACTACAAAGGAAATGAATTGTTATTACTGTGTTATTTGAAAGAGACGAATCAAAGAAGATTATCAAAATACTTTGAAAAACTTTGATTATCAAAATACTTTGAATTTTATAGCCTACATTGATTGATTTGCTTTTTTTTAAGTCCTTTTTTTGCTAAGCGCTCCTTATTTGTCACTTGCAATAACAAAGAACGGTTAAAATATTATCAAGTTGTAATCAGCAGAGCTTTTTTACAAAATTACCGAAAGAGATATTATCATATTATACCTCCTTGATCCAATCCACTTTCTCAACACTAAGCTGCACTTTTAAGTCTTTTAGCACATCTTTCATTAGCCTAGCCTCTTCTCCAGACATCAGCATTCTTTCAATGCGTCGAATCAGATCAATCGGTCGCTGAAAAAATTTTCTCAGAGCATTTCGTCAGTATGAAGTGCTCTTTTTTACGGTGCTTTTCGAAGTCTCTCTTTAGTCAGCTATTAATTCAATGTAAAACAGGATGACTCATGAATTATTCAAGGAAGAACCTTGGAATTTTCTTGAGTAGTCATATTAAGTCTTTGAGATTGACAAACCATTTGCCGCTTCTTTTCCATATCATTGTCTGCCAATAAGGCACGAAATTTTTCATCTTTTATATTCATTTGCTTCTGCAATTCAATTGACAATTAACAACTAATATACAGTTATATAAAAAAAAAAATTTCTCTAGTCCGCAAACCATCCTCAACTTTCATAGTTCGAAATAAAAGTTCAGTTAAAGTCGAGAAGGCCAATTTTGTTAAAGAAAACTTTTGTAAGCATTAATAAAGACTTGTCCATTTGTCAAAAATATATCTTACAAGTAATTCAGCAAATGCGGCATTAATTTGATCATCGTTCATCCGATTAACCTCATAGTAATTGGATTCCATTATTGCTCTACTTGTTTCCGGTAAGCTTGCGCAATCTGTTTCTGGCTAAAATTTGATGCCAGTAGCTTATTTAGAAAATTAAGGCTTGAAATAACATTGATAATGACAATGGTATAATATCATTTTACTGATTAATAAAGAGTAAAACAGAAACCACATGAAGAGTTTTACTACAAACCAAAATGGAAGTAGAAATTGAGAAATTTCACAGACCAAAGTTTAGCTCAAAGTACTGAAAAATAATTTCTAACGAAGTGGTAAATAATAAAGAAATGATAAAGCCAAGGAACGAATGATAAACATGTCCCCATGTGAAGAAACTCAAAATTTCGAGGAAGTTTCCCACAAATAAGTTCTCGTGCCTGAAATTTAAATTTGAAATCTCCCGCTCAATCTTGCTAATTACAGGTACCCCATCTTTGAAATGCAACCAACAGGTAAATCTTCGCTCATTGCGCTTACTACCTCAGAGTTTTTCTTAAACATTACTTTCTCTCTTACATACTTTCTTCTAAACACAGCATTCTATAATCCAACAAAATGGAACTGAGCAGAAATTAAGAACTTGTGAAGAACTCTTATAAGTGTCAATATAAGAATTTTTTGAAATCATAAAATTTACATCTCTATATTTGATCGAAAGAAATCTCTCCAAAGGATAAGCAGACTGACATGATAAGCTTTCTGTGATTAAGTAGGAAACAAACCAAGGATCGGATTGATAGGCTAGAGAAGACATGATGATGATGATGACCATTTTCTGGTCGGAAACTTCGTAAACTTCCGCTATCCTTCCCTTTGTACTTCTTTGATCCAAACATGATCGAATCAATCTGTAATATTTACAACTGCAACAGCTAATAAGGAATAAATTTTATTTATATAAAAAATTCTTAAAATAATTAAATCTAAAGATCTTTCCACTTTATTTATCCAAATATCAGAATATGGAAAGTAACTGTAACACATCATATTTGCCTGTTGCAACTATTGATCCGTCTTATTATCCCTGTTATCATTGACAGTTAGAACAATAGAACATTATCGTTCATTTTCAAATAGAAATTCGATGTGAACTTTAACCTTCTTAATTTTATTATCTGACACTCTACAGCTAAATGACAGAAGTAGAAGTTTTATATTTGAATTTGGGGAGGAAAGTGAATCTCTCTCCCTTTCTATCTCTCTCTCTCTTCCTCATTCTCTCTGTTTGGATGATCGTTTCCACGGAAGAACAATAGGTGAAGATGGGAAGGTCACATGGGATGATATTCATCTGAGGCAACAGATGGATCTACATTTTCCAGTGACGAATGGACATTGGCGCCGCACCTCCCACAACTGCTCTTTTCATCTTTCTTCCTCTACTAAATCTCAGTCTCAATCCTCTCCTATTTCTCTTTTTCTCTTTTTTTATGGGCAAAATTATGCGTGAATATTGAAATGACATTTAATTCATAAAGTACTAAGTATATCTATACTAATAAATATACGATATATCATACTGTATTGGAATCTAATAATCAGAAGTGATACTATCAGTATTTGAAATTCTCAATAAGACTGAGAAATATCAAATCAATTGTAGTCTGAAATGTAGAAAAGATGAATTGATGAAGTTAAGAAAAAATATGAAAGGATGGACTTGATTCATGAAATATACTATGATTTGGAGGATTCTTGGAAAATATCAGAATCTGGAAGATTCATGGAAGATATCGAGATTTATTGATGAACTTGTTTTGTGTTCTCTTCCTATATGTTCCTTAATTCCTTTTCTTATCTAATTACTTGTCATTCCTTCCATTCTTTCAATCTTTGATAGTTGCAAATAACTATGGTATAATTGAGAAAGTGAGATGAACGGGGGGAGGGATGGGAAAGAGATTGTGAAGTTAATTATATCTTCATTAATCAAAAAAAAATCCCCATTTTTAAAAAATTTTCACATTCAAAATTAAGACTTTTCAAGATCGCATGAAACGTCATT